ACTACCGATATATACTAATATACTACTAATATACTGCTAATTTAGCTTTTTGTTAATCAAATGGACACCCGACTGATTCAGCAGTGGATGGTTTGTTCGGGATTAGTCACATACTGTTCTATTATCAATATCCCCACATCCAAGTCTCAAGGAATAGGCAAAGATCAGATCCTTTTGGGCAGCTCACATAAAGTTAAATAATACTGGACCGCTCTCAAACGGCCAAATTTCCTGCAGACCCTTTACCCACAAGTCACACTGAGTGAACAATTCTTCATTCTTTTTGATATTCAAGCAAGTAGTAAGCGGTCAATTTGGGAACATCTAGGAGCGCTCTTCCAGGTATAGCCACAAAGGTACCGACCGTCTTCTCCCCGTATGAAACAAGCACATACGTTTTGTGCTAATTACCACAAAATGCAAATTGTGAACACCCGTGTACGTTACAGTCGAACTGTTATTGACAAAAGCACTAATACTCAGCTTCAATTTGTTGATAAGCACATGCAATTCAGCCTCAAATGAAGAGAGACATCGATTCTATGGGTTTTATTGTCAGAATCCCATTGGTTCTATGCACATTGTGTGCTCGTCGTGAACAATGTTCCTGGGGACCTATTGACATAACTTTAGGCTGACCTTGGGCCAACCTACAGACTGAGTTCTAGGCACCGCATTTCAACCACCTGTTTCAGTACTCAAGGCCTGCTATGAAATATCTAAATAGCCCTTCCTTGGGAAATTGTGATTTTCATGAAGGATACCACATTTCTATGGGAAACTGCTTCATGGTTGAGTGGTGATCTATTGCGCAATAAGGGGCACAGCTACAGCACTCCATGTCTAATACGTTTGAGCGTCATGGACAAATGGAACTTTTTTGGCAGTGGGGAAGGAAATAGACCTCAAACCACTGAATTACCAATTCAGTGAGCAGATGAAGTCATAATGTAAGCGCACCCTACGCGTGGTCACGCCCCAGGCAGACCTTGAAACAATGTTCTCTGAGACGAAGTTTGTGGCTGCCGAACTGGTTACCCTTTACTGAATTCTAACCCGAAGATTAGGACTACAAACGGTCATGACATGCAGTAGCAGTCGTGTTTCTATACGACTATTTCGCACAGTCTCGCAGATGCTTGTTTTGTCAGTACCTACCTGGGAGATCGTCAAACCGGTTTCGCTGAACTCAGAGCTATGAGGTCGTCATCATCATCATCATCATCATCATCATCATCATCATCATCATCATCATCTTCATCATAATCATCGACAGCATGACATCAGTGTTCAACACCGATGCTTCACTGCCATATACGAGGTCTTAAGGTGTTACTGTCACAAATATGCAACTGCAGAGGTGCCCCGCGACTAAATGACAAGAACGCTGCGTGCACCACACCCACAAGTACTACTGGAATATTTTGCAGATCGGATTCAGTCATACGATTGTTTACCAAACCCCTCTGAAACCATACTACTGGAATACTTTGCAGATCGAATTCAGTCGACTCCGATTCGTTCGACTCCCGAAGCCATTGTTTCCGTAGTTGCTGAAACCAGAGGATATAGGCGAACTATTTTCGCTTGAAAATAACACGAGACGTCAATCACAGTTCTTACTTTTCCAGACGTTTTGATCCCCTTATAAATGCACAGGAAAACAACAATCCACGCGACCAGTAAGCACAACGCCAGTTCCCATTGAACCGACCCCATTTGTTCGATTCCGTCGGAGATTCGAAGCACATGACGTCTGAAAATAGGGAGACACTGAATCCGGTTCATGCTAATAGAAGTGATTCAAAAAAGGGTGTCGGATATTGGTGGCCTACCTACTGGTCGCCACCTAACCGGGTACGTTAGCTACTGTTCAAGACGCTTATGCAGGCGGAAATTTATCTCCGTCGTAGAAAAGCCTACTGAAAAGTGGACAGTGCGTGCACATAGAAGCTTTGTGCGTCAAAACAGTGCCGTTAGAAGGACCGTTTCCACGTTAGTTCCCATTTTGGTTAGTTTCACGACAGAGGTCGAAAATGTCATTGTAAATCGTCGAAACAGGTGCAAGTACTGGCCGTAGATTTTATTCATCAATCTAATTCAAACAATAGTGGAACAGTGATGTCACGATGGCGTCTGAAGACGAGGTCCTAAACTGTCCAGCATTCTTCCCTGGTGCAGGTATGGCCGAGCAATACAGGCGAAACAAATAAAAATCGTTTAGCTGTAGTCTAGCTGCCATGCCACCAGAAGGAAGCATGAGGGCTGGGATACTGTCAAGTTGCCCAAGCCTAGACAGAGGAAGTCGAGGGGTAGAGGTTGGGTTTGAACCACGGACCTTTTGGTCAATAAATTCGCAGTCTAACCACTGAAACATCTTGCCCTCCGAACAATGACTACCCTTGTGGTACTAAATAAGAGAGGGTTGTCTGTGTTTGGGGGAACCAATAAACATACAGGAAGATATCACCTCGGAGATCACAATTTTGGGTAATACTGAAACAGCGCAGCAAAGCTGATATACTGGGTTTATGACCCTCCACTTAACAAAGATCACCTATCGATCCAAACTAACGGTGTATTCCGCTAAATTGCTCGCCAGAGAGAAGTGACAGAACTAATGCATCTACAGAAAAACTGTTCCGCTACTTTATCTCACAGGGTATTTAGCTTTGACATGGTGCGTCATCCAGTTGTGTGCATTATTGCTAATATCGATTACTTTTAGCCACCTGATTTAACTGAAAGAAGAATTTTCTTTTCTGGCGGTGCATTAAACAACCTCTTGTGACGTTGGCTAAAATCTCACAACATACACAGGCCATCATACTCAGCGGCTGGGAACAAGCTCACAACCGGTCCATGTTCCCACGTTTCTGTCGAACATAAGACCAGCAAACGATGGCACTGTTGAGAGAACTGCTGCTCCGTATGATGACATCTTGCTCTCGCTCTTCTACAAGCTCCGTTCAGTCTAAACTTAGCGTTCAGGTAATCCGTAATCCCGGGATTTTTAAATTACTTATTGCTTTTAGGTTCCGTCAGGGACCCACTCATGGGAGGGAAAACTTCTAGGTTCCTTTTTGAAACAACTTTGTGAGTTCATTCATTGTTGGTCCTTAGGAGACAGATACAAGCATGATACATTACTTCGATGCAGTGCGAGTCATTTCAAAGACGTGTTGAATGAGCTTCATCACGACAGGCGAAAGCATCTTCAAGTAAAGAAAATAAAGAGAATAATGAAAATCAATCACTTTTTGGAAGATTCAGTTTGCAGATAGTTACGGGCTTGGTACAGGGAACAGTTTTGTAGTTTTCCGTCGGTGACAAGGTCAGTGGCCGGAAAACAGGTTATATAGCAATTCACGGGATCGATATTATCACGTCAGCTGACTGGACAGAAAAGCTGATCGTTTGTCTCACTGACCTCAAAATAACCTAACGGCGGAATCACGTGTTTTAACACAGTGCACGCTTTCAAAGATCTTTTCACAATAAATTGAAGAAGTCATGAAACAGGACAATGAAAATGCTTGGACCCAATTGTCACACTGTGTTGTTGAAAATTTTAGTTGGAACCAGTGGTCTTAAATACGAATTTTGTGCCAGATTTGAGCTGAATTCAGTAGGGATATTGGTAGTTGATCAGGTGGCTGTTGATCTCTTCGTGGAGCTCAGCTGCTAGCTTCCGGAAATTTCGTCACCCCAACGGAAGGATTTTCTTCCGTTCGCCGTTTGGTGAGTATTTCCTTCTCACCTGCGTGGGTGGACACAGTTATCCATTATCTCTTGTTGTGATTGGTTAATTATGAAGTAATCGCATCTTCCTGCTTTGATCAGTGTTGAGTTGTGGTCTGTAGTCTAACAGAATACACGGACACGAAACTACCGGATAGGGACACGGTTAATCTTCACTCGTTTCCGTGAACGAAGATGGGAACAGATACAAAGTTGACTAGAACTAAACCCACATCCCATCCCACGCAAAAACAAATAGAGAAGATAAATTCCTAGAAACACAAGCCCTCTCACTAGCGCCCACTAAGGATAGACAAATGCTATGAACACCAAGTTTGAAGCTCCCCAAGTTACCAAAAGTAGACATAATCCATTCCAAAAAATTAACCAGGCTGACCGAATCACACATTTAAATAAGAATTCGAGGAACCCAACTTAAAAAAAAATTGGTAATGACGAATGAAGGCCAACCAGTGAAGGAACGAAATTCCTCCGAAGGGAGCTATCCAGTCCACCAATTTAAAAATACAGACCGTGAGACAGCTAAAATCAAAACGGACGAATGAGATTGTCTTCAAAGTAACCAATCACATCGAGGGATACCAGATGTGTTTGAAAACTATATAATCCCGGGTAAGTCAGCAGAAATGACTCACCCAACGGCGTATTGATGACGTCTCCTCGATTAATGACCAAATATATGTTAACTTATTGTCCACCTCGGCGAGCACATCACCAGCTACCTGAGTATCTACCAGTAGGATCATTCCAGCCACCCATATTCCGATGGATTCAATATCGGTACACCCAGGCCATATCAGTTTTTCTGTTAGTCTTATAAAACGGAATAAAGTTAGGTTATTGAATTAAGGAATGAGTGCGATCACACTGAGATTTCTCTCTCTTTCTTGAAAGTTTATCCACTCTACTACGTCGCACATAGCGAGTTGATGTTTGCTGACTGCTCCAATGGTAAACATTGCTCATAGCTTTGTTCGAATCCTGTCAACTGGATGCGCACTTGCGCTTCTGTCAGTCCTCATTTCGATCATGTTACTGGCCCACTTCCGCTTTTGGTTTTCTGGTATCAAATCACTAGGGTGCAATGCTATCGATTCGAACGCAGATGGACCACAACCCTCCAATAGATTAAATTATCCCCCCTTCTTCCTCTCCGACAAATGAGTTTTTAACACCTGCCATTCCTCGTCATTCAAACATTGAATGGCTTTCTTACCGGTTATGCTCTTTCTGTGTGGTTCTACCATTCCCCACAACCGCACAACTTGGAATTCGGCCGTAACCCCGACATTAGTTTACTTTTGTTCGTGCATCGTTTAAGCGGTGATCCTCGTGTTGCGGGGCAATTATTCTGTTTAAGCATGCAAAGACTGGACAGAGCTTTGGCTCTTATTGGAGCTTATCACTGGACTGGATTTGAACCTAGGATATACGACGCATTCGGCGAGAGTGTACCACCAAGCCACTAACAAAGGCTGTATCTGATGCTTGTGATCGTGAAGACAAGGGGGAAGAGGAGTCAACAAGTTCACCAGTTCCGATGTACCAGATGAGGTGCGTCAGGCATGAGCTCTTCCGGTGTTCTGAGGTCAGCTGCGTAGGTGACCCCACTCTTAATGAAATACACTCATTTACAAAAAAGTGAGAGACTCACCAGGAACCTAGCTGAATCTTTCATTTATGATGTTTCGTGGAATTTGGGTTCAAGTAGAACACAAGGTTGACGGAACCTTGGGGGCTGCGCTTCTCTGGTGGGCCCCAAGAAGGGCGAAACAGGTGGGCTATCGAAGAATTTTCAGCAACCTTATTAGTAGTGTACCACCCCCACTCATATCCAACGGTGCTCACATCCACACGGTCCAAAATTAATCTGTCGCAAAAACTAAGGCAGATTATTTAGGCATTGTTAGTCATCTTCACTTTTCACCTAAAAATCAGTAGAGTAAGACACCTTCCGCTGTGCGAGGGAGTAACCTGAAGCTGGGATGTTCTTCCCAACGAATTGAGGGATACTCATATTCGGCTGGGCTATCGAAGTCTCCCCTATCAAAACAGATCGTCACCAATATGTCTGTCTGTCCTCATGAAAGTGTCGCACGTTCTCAACAGGATTGTTACCGGTTATTTAGCCCATAAATCACCTGTAATCTTACACTGAACACTCCTCAGTCATCATGCTGGTGATCTTTAGTTCAGATTTGCGGGCTCTCTACTGGTTACATGCCATTACCAACTATAGAGGCTCGTTCATGTGGCACGAAAAATTGCGGTCAGCGTACAGAACTGACTTTCTCGGTCTATCAGTCAGATCGCAAAGTTTAAAGCGTCTAGGTAAAATAGCTTACACAATCACTCACTCCCAGTATTCAGCTGCTGGATCTGTTGGCAGAAATGTTTGATTGCTAGTTCCATTCGTACCGATGGACATCACGGTCATGTTATTGGCTCCCACATCGCGACAACGATCGGTGTTCCAAGCATTCCGGCAGTGCGTCCAAGGCAGAACAGAGGAGAATGAGGAGAACAGATAGTGGATTGCCCAAGCCAGGATAACGTTGTAATAGCAGTCCAGACAAAAGTTTGTCACCGCACTGGCAACTCCGATTCCTGAAGAAGAGACGTTTATCTACCGTACATTTGTTAAACATCCAATAATAAAATTTCGTTGAAAACTTGGTCGACTGTGCATATTTGTAATTCTAATCGAGTCTTAGATCCGGCAAAACTGCATAAATGTGTATAGGAGCGATCGAAAAACCATGTGTGGGTCTTCTCATGGCTCCCTCATTCAGCAGCCTATGTCTTACCTACTACCACTCCGAAGTTTACCATAACCAAACTAATAATAAAAAATGTGACTTTTCTGTTTGGATCATCTATAGGTAGGTGGCGAAGCGGAGCAACTTTGGAGGTTAAAAGGCAACACGAACAGCCGACAGCTGTCCGAATTCTGTCGATTAGTCATCGGAGCGTGTGAAGGTCAACGAAGGCCAAGGTCACCAAGTTAGCACAGTTCATTCACTTCAAACAGGATTGCAGTTAAACACTTGGAACTCGGTTGACACAGGAAACCAAAGCAAAAGCCGATCGGAATCAATTAAAACAACCCGTTCAAAGTTTGGAACAGCTTGCAAGATGTACCAGGGAAACACATTGAACCGGGGTCTTTTCTTTGGTCGGTTTTCGGAATAACACGGATTCTGAACTGAAATTCGGAACAACCGAGTGTTACTCAGAATCCGAAGATGTTATTTACAAAGTAGGACGTTAGCGAATATACACTCATTTGCAAACTAATTTGGTTTTTCTACGAGAGACTCACCTTGGACCCAGCTGGATCTCTCGTTCATGATGTTTCTATGCAACTAAATACGCTGCACCAGGCCGCCTCATGTTTCAGTCG